ACGGAATTTTAAATTATGTCTTTATTTTCGAGAAAATTTAGTCCAAACATAAGGAATATTTTGTTGATATTTGACCATCAAAAATCTTAAAAACAAAGAAGTTGTCTAAAAATGTGCTACAATACGGATCTAGTATAATCGTTTATCTTTAATTTCCTTCTTCATTTGTGTAAAAATACCTAGCCAGTTTTACATAAAACGTTAAATGTCGAACGCTTATTTTGCTACTTTTTCGGACTAGTGAAATGGACTCTTAAGTACGCCTATGTTCTAATAAACTAAATAAATGTTTAAAGAAAAAGCCATAAATGGCGTTACCTTATCTTTAAAAATGATAAGTAATTTTATTTTCTACCAAAAATCTCTCATAATCGTTATAATGCAAAATTGCAATATAAATTATTACAAATACTTAGAAAATTGTTAAAAAGAGAACAATACAGTAAAATCTCTATTGGATTCTATATTCTAACCATACTAGCACAGAATATCTAGCTACGCAACAGAAAAATACTCGAAATGGAAGAGCTAAAATTGCACAAATAAAATACTAGATGGCGCGACAATATCATAATCAGAATATAATTGGAAATTTTGAACTTTCGGTTATGGATCGATGCGGATCGACGGCACGTCGACGGCATTGACGCCCGGTTAAATATGCACAGTTGCCAGATTCAAAAAGATTTTAATTGGCATCCCACTCGTTTTCTGGTTTATAATTATGGAGTGTAGAGTTTATAATAGTTTCTTTCTATTCTTCTTTTCTTGTCAGATACACTTGTATTAATTATTCGTTTGGCTTTTAAGATAGTTTTAAGTATATTACAAAACATATACTCATAAAATACATTTTTAATATACACTACCTTATATTGTTAACTAAGAAAATACCTTTAATTACCTTTAAAAATGTACAGGGCAATTGATAGTGATATTTATTAATGCTGGAACGTTCGTAATGGAAATAATTTATTAAAATGCAGTACAAAAAAACTTAATTGACTAAAAAAATACTATAATAACAAATTTCTACTGTTTGCCACGTTATTTATATAGACCTAGGTAGATTTTAAAAAGTGACACAGGCACAATTAATAATATCATACTCGGTATAAAAGTTGCTGTCACGACATCGTACAGTAAATTAAAATTCGTAAAATAAATTAAAATTATTAATTAAACAAATCTTTATAAAGAAACGCATACCAAATTTGGGCCCAATCGCAATCCAGGAAATGATATCATAAGTACCATAATATTGCAATGTCACTGAAGATCCGTAGTATACCAAGTTTAAGCCCAATCGAACGCCAGGAAATGGTATCGTAATATGGTACTACATTATGGTACCTCTTCATGGTATCATAATATTGCAATGTCATCAAACATACGCAAGTATATATCAAATACAAGCCCAATCGAACGTCAGGAAGAAACCAAGTTTAAGCCCAATTGAACACCATGTACGTAATATGGTACTATTTTATGGTACCATTTGATATGGTTTATGGTATCATAATATTGCAATGTCATCAAAAATACGAAATTATATATTAAATGTGAGTTCAATCGAACGTCAGGAAGTGGTATCATAATACGGTACTATAGATGGTACCACTTTACATGCATCATAGTACCATGATATTACAATGTCACCGAATATACGTAGTATATCAAGTTTAAGCCGAATCGAAAGCCATGCACATATGTAGTATGGTACTATATTATGGTACCACTTGATATGCTTCATGGTACCATAATATTGCAATGTCATCAAAAATACGCAAGTATATATATATCAAATATGAGCCCAATCGAACATCAGAAAGTGGTATCATAAAATGGTACTATAGAAGGTACCACTTTATATGCTCCATGGAACCATAAGATTACAATGTTACTAAAGATAAGTCGAATACCAAGTATCGAAAGCCATGTATCGTAATATGGTACTATATTATGGTGTACTATTTCCCATAAAAATTTACATATAAAATGACAGCGATCTTCATTTTTTTATTTCATTTTTTCTAACGCCGTTTTTTCCCGATCATACGGTATAAAGTATGAACACAATTGAACGTCAGGAAGTGGTATTATAATAGTAGAACAATATTTATTATATTATCACCGGATTACAATTAAAATTCAGGATTCAATTACAATCAAATGTCAGGAACTGATTGTAATTCAGCTCGTAAGATTTAACTCCATCTAACATGGCAAGTTAAATACTTAAACGTTTGAAAAAAGAGTTCTGATCTATTTTAATGTTTAAATGACGTAGCAAATTTAAAGGTAGGCTGTATCAGGAAGTATTACAATATAAATTACACAATGGCAACACTGCACAAAATTCTTTTAAATTTCGTTTGTAGAAAACTGTTTTCTTTAAAATTTATCGCCCTCTGTTATGTAGTAGCAAAACTACCGCATCAAAATATCTGATTTGGAGACAGGCTTTTAAAGCCTGTCTCCTTTTGATACCTACAATTTTATGCATGTAACGAGGCTTCTGTTGCGTAGCTAGATATTCTGTGATACTAGCATACATCATTAGCAGAAGCAGATGACTAAAATTATTGGAGAAAATTAATCAATTATTTATAAAGCACTCAGCTGGTATTGTTGCGGAGTGTGACACTCACAACCCAGCAAAAAAAACGACTCGTCTGAATAATCGATAAACTTGTAAATATTTAATTAAATTATAAGGGTAAAACTAAAATATTATTAATTATTTAATATTTTTTACTATATTAATTTAATACAAATTGCAATATAGTTGCACAATACCATTGCATGCATTAAAATCGATTGAACATGGATATTGTTTTAATTTTCTTTAAATCATTGTTTACAAATGACTTACCTAATATATGAATAAAATATTCAGTATTTGTTTCCACAAAACCTTAACTTACGCACACATAAATACATCTAAACTAAGCAAAATAGATAACCTAAAGGTTTAAATATCCGTACTAAATTAAAAATGAATTTCCGAACATTTGTTAGAAGTATCAATTAGTACCTTCATGACAAATTGATTTGTAAGTATTTCTAAATAGGAAAAAATTATTCTAATAGAAAAATGATTATCTATAAAGTAAAATATTCTTTATTAAATAATAATAACAAATTAATTTAAAATTCTCTTTTTAATTATTTCAAATGTCACTACTAATGAAGAGGCTTTAAACAAATATTACCTAAAAGTGAACTGTTTTCTGGTTAAACCTACATAGTTTCTCGAGAAATACAGGGTCAGTCTTAAATAAATGTATACGGAGTGTTTCAAAAAACATGTGCCATCTCTGGTGGGGAGATTCCTCACGTAAAAATAAGATATATTTTTCATATCAATATAGGTCCTATTCTGCTTTGTTTCGTAGCTACAGGGTGTTAAAGTCTTAATATTTTTTCGATTTATTATAATTTTCTTCCAAGTACTTTTAGTGATTTGAATGAAATTTTGAGGGTAAAAATTACTACAAGTGCTACATATTTTAATGCTAAAAAAGTGTCGATAAATTCATCATGGACGTGCATATGGGTTATCAATGGAATATTTTTCAAAAAAAAACATGTGCGCCACAGACTTTTTTTCTTTTGATATGAAAATTGTGTAGGCCGGTTAATGCCAAATAAAAGTTATCTCTTGATATTTTGTCGAATTAGGCCTCCTTGATGAGATAAACGCAATTTTATTAATCACAATAATTATTAAAATTAAAATAAAAATAAAATTAATAAATTATATTTTTTACCTAATTTATTATTAAATATTATTACTATTAGTTACTATTACTATTACTCCAACATACAGCAATTTCAAATAATAAAATTATGGTATTTAAGATAATTACTTAAATCTTATTTTTACGGGAGGAATCTCCCCCACGAGAGATGGCACATGTTTTTTAAGACACCCTGTATAAGTGCTGTAAGTAGGTGAATATAGTACGATTGTAGTACGATACCAGAAATACGCCTATGAGGTTTTTTCTCAAATAAAATAAATATTTTTGTATTTTTCGAAATTCGCAGTTAAAAACATAATCTTGATAATATATGGTAACATATATAGATTAAAAAAAAGTCAGTGGTTCTGAAAATTTAAGCAATTTTTAATTAATTTCAAAGTAAAATAACTCAGTTGCTTTGAACTTATATGAAAAATTCATTCTTCACAAAAAAATTTGCTTGTTCCAAAATGGTTTTTACCTAATCCCGTTTTTTTTTAGACTTTTCAAAACCTCAATACCGTTTTAGAGGAAATTAAAAAAAACATGAAAATATGCTTGAAATTTTAAAGAGAAGAAAAGAATTTTAGAAAGTCCTAAAAATCATAAGGCGCTATGGTAATATAATTTCGATTTCATTCTTTGATACATCGTTCTTATTAATTTTGATTAATGTCATTGTTTTTGCCGATTTTATTATTAACAGCAGCGTAAACATTTTTTGTTTTTTTTCTAATAAGATGCAAAAAGAGCTTAAGAATTTGGAAAAAATCCAAATATATATTATTTTTTATTTACGTGTAATTGTAGTTATAAACAAGCAAAATATCTTCAATTTTCAGGCGTATCTCATATAAAAATATTAAAATGTTATCTTACTAAGGAAAGCATTGTAAAAGGTATTTTATCAGAATTCCGCAATTGCAATGATTTAAAATGACATACATAGTAATCATCAAAATAATATTGGGAAATCCCTTATACGTATGAATTATTTGTTGACACTTTACATTAGCACATGTATGGATAATATGAATAAAATTAACAAAGGACGAGAGTGATGATTGACGATAAATAAACAAATAGATTAATAAAAATTTAACTGTTTTTAATAAGCCTTAACCTAATAACTTTTACAAGGATATCCTTGAACGTTATAGCATAGAGGTAATACTTATTGTGCTATTAAATAATGCTTAAATCGAAATATTTGTAATGAAAGTTTAAGGGTCTAAGTATTTAGTAACTTACATCGACTTCTGTATTAGCAACCTACACTACAAATACTGCATTGAAAAATCTATAACTAGTTTCAGGTCAAGTTAGAATCCGAGGTAAATTATTAAAAGATTAAATAATCCATATATGTTATCGATCAACATAGGGCTTTGTTTTAAACTAGTTATTACCTCGAACTTGCAACATACTTATGCCAGTCAAATTAGTTAAAAAAGGTTAACCAGTGAAATAAATTTCCACAGTTTTTAAAGTAAAATCCCTTTAACGGTATTTAACGGTTCCTCTATACTTTTGACTTCTTCTTCTTCGTCGTCGTCGTCTCTTCATGTCTGAAGAATCGTGACATTATGGCTATGTGCAGCTAGTGATTTTGATCTTCCATCGTTGGCGATCTTCCGCTTCACGGAGATTTGATTGAAATGGATGACCTGTAATATTTGCTATTTGGTCAAGCCATCTCGATGGTGATCGTCCTCTGGGTCTTCGGCCTTCTATTTTGCCTTGTACTATGATTTTTTCAAGGTTGTCTTTACCTCTGCGAGTAATATGACCGAAGTATTGCAGGATGCGTCTACGACAGATGGTGGATAATCGATCTGTGATGCCGAGTTCATTAAGAATTGACTGGTTCGTTCTTCGAGCTGACCATGGGATACGGAGCATTCTCCTCCAGCACCACATCTCAAATGCATCTATACGGTGTCTATCAGCGCTGTTGACCGTCCATGACTCAGACCCGTATAGAAATATGGAGAACACCAAAGATCGAACAAGGGTCTTTTTGGTGTTTTTAGTAATGTTCCTATCTGTCCATATTTTTCTTAAGCTCATCATAGCCGTCCGTGCCATTGCTATATGCCTTCTTATCTCTGCTTCACAGCCCCCATTATTTGTTATTAAAGACCCTAAGTATATAAATTGATCTACCGTAAAATGGGGGGAATAGAAACATAGTGGTGAATAGAAACAAAATTTCTGAAAAAAATCAAATCACGATTAAAAATATTCAAAGTAAAAAGAGTCGACATATCTAATTTTTCTATCATTGGTAATACACAATAAAATGTAAAAACTATATTTTTATCTGTGGCAGCACTGTTTCTGTAAATCAGCTGATCAATAAATGTGAGATCGATTTATCACCTATTTTGTATGGCGCGAAAACTTTATAAATAAAATATTTATTTTTAAAGTAATACTGCTTGTACATGTAAGTTGTTATATTATATGTATTGTTAATTATTGTTAAACCTACTTAAATATGTAATAAGTTACTGTTTCTAATCACCTTGTTGGAAGTAGAATAGATAAAAACCTTAACGTCAGTGTGTGTTTCTATTCTCCCGAATAGCAGGTGAATAGAAACACAAATGTTATTTTTATTTAATATTTATATGCATATTTTTCAAAAATCAAATTATATGTATACGCAAAGAACAAACAAAGACCCATGTTTTAAAATATTCGGGAAAATAATACCACATTTTTATCAACCCGTATAGGTATCGCTAATAGCCTACGAAACTGTTTCTATTCACCCCAGTTTACGGTACCCTTTCTATATTGGGGAAGAGGTTGTGTCAGGTTGTGTTATCGAACTGCACCACTTCTATCAATCATCACACTTTTGACTATATACCGGGTTGTTCACCACATACGACACGGAGTATTGTAGCTAAACGATTAGATTTTTACAAATTGTAAGTTTTGGGTTCGTTGGCGGGCTATTAGAGCTACAATTTAAAAATATTTTTACAAGATACAGAGTGTCCCAAATAAATAAAAAATATCAAAGTTGTATTTTTTAAATGGAACACCCTGTATATTATTGCATTTTTAATTTCTAGGATTAAAATAAAGGTAAATTTGATTAAGGTTTATTACACTTAAACCTTACCGTTCTTGAAATATTTTCAATTTTGTGAAATTGCAGTATACATTTTAAGGCTTCATTTCTCTGAGGGTATCAAAGTTTTTATTGCTAAATATTTACTGAAGTTTATTTATTGATCAGTTATTGTGTTGCAATAATATACAAAATACTACCTTATACAGAGTGTCTAAAAACTTATTTTAAATAATTACTAGCTTTAAACGGCAATAACTTGTTTAATTTAAATGGAACACCCTGTATATTTTATAAGAATCAGATGCACAATTTAATTGTCTATCAAATTGTATTAGACCACTTTTCACCTATCCCTTCAAGTTTTAATAGAAAATGCATTTTCTTACGATTTAGACCTCATTTATCATATACCCATGGAATATTGACATTTTAGATTGTTTTAAAACAATAAATGTACAAAATGTACAGGCTAGTAATATTATCGTTCTTAGTAAAACGATAATATTACTAGCCTATTTGTATGCAAAAAAGAAAACTATTTAAATCTTTATAAAAGAGTATACCATTAATTAAATATAACACCAGTATTTCCGCCCAAATACTAATTAATTAAATATTTAATTGTGTTCGTTAATAAATTATTCTGAATAAATATGGATTTGAAGCAGAAATCAATATAATAATAAGTTATGAAAATGAACGTCTCTGTTGTTATAAATAAGCATTTGTCAAAAAATGATATATCATTTTAAGGTGTTTTTACCACACTGTCTAATACACATACATAATTCAGTTTTTTAGTATTTGGAGCAATTATTATTAATCAACGCAAACAGTCAATTAATGTAGTTTGAATACTGGAATCATATTAATTTGTCCTCTTTAACAAATATTTAAACAGTTTTTTTATTTTTTAATGAAATAAACGAACTATATCGACAATATTAGTATCTGTACTCTTTAAAAATAATCTGAAATATTAGTATTCCATGGGTATATTGATAAATGAGTTCTAAATTACAAGAAAATGCATTTTCTACAGAAATTTGAAGAGATAGGTAAAAAATGGTATAATACAATTTGATAGACAATTAAATTGTGCATCTGATTTTCATAAAATATACAGGGTGTTCCATTTAGATTAAACAAGTTATTGCCGTTTAAAGCTAATAATTATTTAAAATAAATATTTAGACACTCTGTATAAGGTAGTAAAATTTTTATTATTGCAACATAATAAGTGATCAAGAAATAAACTTCAGTAAATATTTAGTATTAAAAACTTTGATACCCTCGGAGAAATGAAGCCTTAAAATTTATACTGCAATTTCACAAAATTGAAAATATTTCAAAAACGGTAAGGTTTAAGTGTAATAAACCTTAATCAAATTTACCTTTATTTTAATCGTAGAAACTAAAAATTCAATAATATACAGGGTGTTCCATTTAAAAAATACAACTTTGATATTTTTATTTATTTGGGACACTGTGTATCTCCTAAAAATATTTTTAATTTGTAGCTCTAATAGTCCTTCAACGAACCCAAAACTTACAATTTGTAAAAATCTAATCGTTTAGCTACAATATTCCGTGTCGTATGTGGTGAACAACCCTGTATATATAGAAAAATATAAAAGAAGAACGGATTTATTGGGCAAGCTTAGAGTAAGATTAGCCATAAGACATGACTAAAACATGACTACCCGTAGATACTCAGTGTTTCTGCCTTCCAGCTTCATCAATACGGGAGGAATCAGCAACGATAAACTAGTGATCCTGAAAAAGAAAAAGGGAAGCAAACGAGGCACAAGGCACCATTTGCAACCTGGTTAGGCAGCAGCTCACAATTCGCAAGCGTTACCACCTAAAACCCGCTGCGGAGTCATTCCAGCACACCTCGCCGTTGTCACCTTGGCCCAGAGGAAGTAATAAATAAAAGATGTTATCGTCGGGACTGTAATAAAAAGAAGAAAGAATTTGTATACGCACCTTAATGGTGCAAGTACACACTCGCCGAGACGACCCGAGGCCGAGACGAGGCGAGTGTGTACTTGGGGCTCTCGCCTGCTCTCCGGCCCCTCGCCTCGGACTCTGAACGTTTTGTACCAAGTACACGCTCACCGAGGTGACCCGAGGCGAGACAAGGCGAGTGTGTACTTGGGGCTCTCCTCTTGCCTCGCTGCCTCTCGCCTCGTCTTGGGAGCGCTCGGTCTAGAGGCGGTCTCTAGCACGAGTCAAAGGAGACGAGAGCCACAGAGAAACTAAATAAAAGAGAGTCAATAGATTCTATATTTCTCTATGGCGAAAGCGTTAAGTAGGAGGTCCCGCGAAAATATACACGGTGCTTCTCAGGAAATCTCGGCATTCCTTATTAGTTCGTCTTCTCAACTGCCTTTGAGTTAACGCCTAGTTTTGGTATTTAAATTATTAAAATCTATACTAATATATAAAATCCTTAAGTAACTGATATACTGATTAATCACGATCCTGCTCAAACCTCTCAACGTAAGAAGCTCAATTTTGGCATACAGGTTGATTCTAGGGTGTAGAGGTTCGATAAGAAGGGATTTTTCGAAATTCCAGTTCCAAGAGGGTGAAACCACCCCTCAAATATTACAATATTTCTTATTTAAAAAACGGTCAAGTTTCCGAAAAAACGCTTAAACACGTATATTTTATTTTGTTTTTTTACATATTTTAAGATTTTTTAAAAATGTATACAGGGTGTTTCAAAAAATCTGGTCAATAATTAATCACGATCCTGCTTAAAGCGCTTGACGTAAAAAGCTGATTTTTGGAAAATAGATTGACTTTAGTGTGTGATTCGATAAGTTCAGTTCGATAAGAAGGAATTTTTCGAAACTCGAATTCTAAGGGGGTAAAACTGTCCCCCAAATATTAAAATATTTTTTATTTAAAAACCGGTGAGTTTTTCGGAAAAATTCTTAAACACGTATATTTTATTTTGTTGTTTTACATATTTTAAGATTTTTTATAAATTTATAAAGGGTGTTTCATAAAATATGACCATTGAGTAATCACGATTCTGCTTAAACTGCTTGACGTTTAAAGCTGATTTTTTGGCAAACGGATTGACTGTGGGGTGTAGAGGTTCGATAAGGAGGGGTTTCTCGAATCTCAAATTCCGAGAGGGTGAAAACGCCTCTCAAATATTACAATATTTGTTAT